TCCTCCTCCTCCCTCGCCCTCGCCCTCGCCCTCGCCCTCGCCCTCGCCCTCGCCCTCGCCCTCGCCCTCGCCCTCTCCTTCGTCCTCGCCCTCCGCCGTTGCCCTCTCTCCAGACCCCAGCAGCGGGTGGGGGTGGAGGGGCGGGGCGGCCAGGCTGGCGGGCGCTGCCAGGCCCCAGCATCGGCGTGGCGAAGACGGGGCCCCAGGCCCCAGCATCGGCGGCTTAAGATGAGGCCCCAGCATCGGCGGCTCAAAGATCGGCTCAAAGATGCTCGCGTCCTGAAAAGTTCAGGACGGGAGGCTTTTGGCCGTTCTGGGCCTCGGGGGGCCCTTACAGAGCCCCAGGACCGCCAAAGGAACGGCTCGACCTGAAAACCCGGCCCCGGCGAAAGGGTCGAGAATTCCAGGGACCACTTACGAGGAAAATCAGGACGTCGCATGTCTGGGGCCGCAAGAGAGGGGCCTCTACGGGTAGGAAGGGATCCGAGATTGGATTTACATCGTCTGAGGCACCTCGCCCTCGGGGCCCCATCCCTCAGGACCCGATCTTTGCACTGCCGAGAGAAGGGGAGTACTGCAATCGGGCCCGCGCGGCGAGAGTGCTCACAGGCGCGCGTGGGCCCGTCAGCAGCGTGCACCGCGGGCCCGCCTCCGTGCCTGCGCGGGTCCGTCCCCGGACGCGCACGGGCTCGTCTGCGCGATCGCGCCCCCCGACACGCTGGCACGACCGCGTGGGCCAGTGGCACGCCCGCGTGCGGTGTGCGCCCGTGCCCGCGCTCGCCGTGCGCCCCTTCGCCGCGCGTGCGCGGGCCCGTCTGCACGTCCGTGCTGGGCCCGCTGGCAGGCACGGGCAGGTCCGCTCCTGGCGCCAGCGCGGGAGCGCCGCAGGGCGCGCGGAGGCCCGGGACCCGGCCTCGAGTGCCGCTGGCACCCATGGACGAGGACCGCCTCGGCTCGAGGAGGGGCGCCCTCGCGCCTCCGCTGGTCCTCGGGCCCTCCGCCCCGGCTGCCAGACCCGGAGCGCTCTGCACCCGGGCACGGGGGCTCGTGCTCGTGGGCCTGCGTGCTCGTGGCCACGCTCCGACCGCGTCGAGCCTGACAGGCCACGCGTCAGAGCGGCCCCTCGCCGGAGCGTGACCTCTGGTGCGGGCTCACCGCTGGGACGTGGCCCCCCACCTCCTGCGGCCCCCAGGGCCGCGCGGGCCGCGCACCAGAGATCACGCTTCATACCACGGCTGGTGTGCGATAACGGATATGCGGGAGAACGAGTTCCTCTGTCCTGCGTTCAGGCTCCGCCTTGCACGCAAGGGGTAACCATTATTTGCATATCATCGAATCGATCGTACTTGTTAACTTTGCTTTCTCTCTCTCTCTCTCTCTCAAGTGCGCGGCCGGGGCGAAGCGTGCCCGCGCTTCGGTCGGTCCCGCCGCGTCGCAGCCAGTGGCGTTCGGTCGGCTGGGTTCGGTCGGCTGTTGCACCGTTGCTTCGTCGCTGCGCGTTTGAATAGGCGGAGGAGAGGGGAGGAGAGGAGGAGGAGGAGGAGGAGGAGGAGGAGGAGGAGGAGGAGGAGAGGTTGTAGGAGGAAGGAGGAGGAGGAGGAGAGGAGAGGAGGAGGAGAGGAGGAGGAGGAGGAGGAGGAGGAGGAGGAAGGAGGAAGGACGAGGAAAGAGAGGAGGAGGAGGATGAGAGGAGGAGGAAAAAGGAAAGGAGGAGGAGGAGGAGGAGCAGGAGGAGGCAGGGAAAGGGGGGGGGCTCGAAATCCGCTGCATGCAGCCGAACTCGACCCCGCCGCTGAGCGCGCCTTCCTCGAAGGGAAGGGGAGGAACAGGCGGCTGACGAAGAGGAGAAGGCGGAGGAGGAGGAGGAAGAGGAGGAGGAGGAGGAGGAGGAGGAGGGCGACGAGGAGGGCGAGCAGAATAGCCAGAGGCCTTTTGGATATCTATCGGAGGCTCTTCGGAGTGCATCTTGAGAGTTTCTTAGGTTCCTATTGGGGCGTCTTGGGGGCCTCTCGGCGGTCCCACGGGCCTCGTGCAGCGTCTTGAGTGCCTCGGGAGAGCCTCTTGGGGCCTCTTGGGAGCCTCTTGGGGCCTCTGGGGACCTCTGGGGGCCTCCTGGGCGACTCGTGGGGCCGTCCTGGGGCCGTCTTGGGGCACCCTTGGGAGCTTCGGAGCCTCGGAGGCCATCTTGGGGCCAGCTTGGGGGAGATCGATCGAAGAAGGGGAAGGGGGTATTTGAGGCCCCCCCAGAAGGCCCCCAAAACGTATATAAAATCAATGATGCGTGCCGTCTCGCCGAGGCCATCCTGGACGCTCCAATCGGTCGCGACCCAGGGGGAGGGGGCGGGGTCAAGCTACCCTCTTCTTGGCATCGCTCGGACGTGTGCATGTTTTCTCGGCGAGAACCATCGAGGACCATCCTGGACCATCGAGCAAAAAAGGCACGCACGAAACCGGAAAATGCACGGGAAATGGACGTCCGAGCGACGGCAAGTCTTACATAGCAGGCCATCTAGCTGACTCCCACCCGCCCTCCCAAAACATGGGTAACACCCCAAGTGTCAGCAGATCGCCTAGGAACGCCACACATGCCATGCGTGCCACGGGCTCCAGGGGTGCACCAGGCACCCTGGAGACCCAAGCGTGCCAGGTGCCGCACATGCTCCATGTGCGCCATCTGTGCCACGTGCTCCAGCCGCGCCAGGTGCGCCAGCTACGGGGAACCAATAAGAGCCCCAGGTGTCTGGAGCCCTGGCCCAAAGGAGTTCAGGATCTCGAGAGCCCCTGAAGCGAAGTGCCGAGCATTATGTGAGAACGGGGCTCCTCCAGGGAGCACAAAGCACCAACACCGATGGACAAATTGTGACAGATGAGAGCTCAGAGAAAAGAGGGCCCTGCGCATGCTCCAGATTTGGAGCCAACGTGTATGTTGTGTTGGCTGTTGACAGGGATGTTTGGCCTGCGCGCAGCAAGCAGCGGCCAGGTCCGCCCCCCACGCCTCAACTCTCGATAAAAGTTGAAGGCAGTGGGAGGGGGCACCATAGCCAGCACCAGGTTTAAGTCGGGCCTGTCCCTCTACAGGAGGAATACTCAAACATAGTCAAAAAATTGTCAGGGGACGATTCGTTGATGCTTTGCTAACATTA